GGGGAAAGGGGGGCTGTTGCTTCGGGCCCCACTCTTCCAGGGGGGGCCCCCGAAGGAACTTAAAAACGTTAAGTACTTGCGTAAAGTGGATTGGGTGGGGGGGGGGAAAGCTCCAAGAATCCACTTACTCTGGGCCTCGCAACTTCTTAATCCGCCCCTGCCTAGTTCTATGGTCCATTAAGAATCAATGTATTCTTAAAAAAAAAAACCTCTTTGGGGGAAAAAGAGTTATTTGGCTTAAAGGCCTCTTTATTTCGCCTAGATGAGGTTCGTGCATTCGAACCCTAATCCTGAATGCTGCTGAAGGCGACTCGAGTCGCCTAGACTAACAATTTAAATAATTGGACAGTAAGAAAGCTGAAAGTGCGGCTGTAAATATTCATGAGGAACTGAGCACGTTGCGAAAGTAAAGCGATTGACACTCTTAGAATACGTGAATTCAATGCGTCCCTTCGAACTCGGAAACCGATGAGAAGTGGCGGTTCCACTGACCAGGGCCGTTTCTAGGCGTGTTGGCGTGTTGGCAAGAAGTTCCAATGGCGCCCCCCCTCCCCCGCTTTACCCCTCCGGCGCCCCCCCCCCCCCTCCCCCTTTACCCCGCTGGCGCCCCGGGCTATCGCCCGCCCCTAGAAACGGCCCTGCCACTGACAACTGTCTGCCGCGCTATCTAGTGGCAACAGTTGTCTCCAGTCACTTATCATGGAGTCTCCGGACCATATCTTTTCATATATGATAGATATATCGTATTTTTTCAGAGAACTCTGACAAGGAATAACACCCCTCCCCTTTTCCCCAACCGGAAACGGAATACTATTTCCGTTGAATTTATTACCACGCCGACCAAGCCCGGATTAAGGTTATGACTGGCCTAAGGCTAATGGGCGGGAAGGGCCTAAGTATGAATTGCATATTGCAAAAAAATTAAAAATTAGGGCCTAAGGCTAATAAGGGCCTTATTGGCCTATAGGTTAATCCGGCTTCGCCCACGACCAATGGAAACCAACAGATCCGAGACGGAATCGAGATTTTTTTTCCGTCTTCAGAATTCCTTGTGAATGTTGCTAATGTCACGGCACCTCTTTCCTTTTCACAGATTACAATAGCTTCTTGGGTCTCGGCCGGGTGGGGAGCAGTCAGGGTATTTACCTCTTGGGCTTCTTCGTCGTCTTCAACGTCTTTGTCCACTTCGCAATACAGGTCCTCTATTTCTTTCTGAGAATACGGGTCTTTCCATTCGTCATTTGGAAGTATTATTAACGATCTTGAAAGATAAATTGTTGCTGGAAGGGAACAATTAACGGAAAAATTGTCCTCCGGTTGAATTTATTACTTCTGCTTCTAAAAGAAAATCGTTGACGGCTGTTTTTGTCCACCGATGATTACTCTGTCCGGCGCCATTCCCATCAATTACAGCCCCGATTCCCCTTCACAGAAGCTCGAGAAAAACTTGGCAGCCGGTGAAGAGACGGACACGAACCGAGTGGCTCCCTCTGCGACGTTCAACCTCTCCGCCTTGAAGAACCAAGTGAGCGTCCCATCCGGTCGGGTCTCGCCCCAAGTAGCATGGGATCGTCCCATGGACGCCCTTAATAGATCCTGACATCCCACAACAGACATACCTTGGACTCTTTGAGGTATTTGGCACATGAGACGCCAGTATTCCTCACCTTCTGGTCCTCTGGATGTTCCAGGGATATCCACATCCGCAGGACTTTTTATAGGGACATCCATTGGATGTCATCTGTCCTACGTAGGATCCATATGGGACGTCTCTGGGATGTCCTTTTGCTCATCGAGACGGGGCCGAGATGGAAGAAAGCTCGACGATGCGGAAAACTTTCCAGCGACGCCCAGTCGATCTGTAGTGAGGGAACCCACTTCCTTCTTTCCAGGGGGGGATTGGAGACCTGGCGAGAAAGGGCCTGCTGGTGTTGCACTTCATCGTGGCGTGGGGAGTGGTGATCGCTCTTGGCATCATCATCACCAAGTGAAGGAGGAATATTCCCGCCTCATGCCTCGCCTGCAGATTCCTATCGTTGGGCGCAGGGGGAACGCCTGTAGTACGTAAAGTCGGGGTTCGAGCACAGATGACTCTACTCGAACATTTTATGAATTAACCGTCTACTTTTAACGTCCTCAATCATCTCGCCGTGCTATAATATTGTATATAAAACCATTTGATCAATTTATTAACTTATAAAGTGAATAAATCATGCCTGAACCCCCTCTTTATACGTACTACTGACGTCAGCGAATTTCTGATATGTTTGTTTAATCGTCGATGTGTTGAGAAAACTGTACAATTTCAATCGTCTTCGCGGTCGGGCATCGAAAGCCTAATCGTTGGGTTTGTATCGCCTCTCGATGATGAGAAGAGATGACTTGGAAAGTCCTGCTCCCGAGAAATGCCTCTGGAAACGCGCAGAGGGATCCTTTCGAGACTTGGATCCATCTAGAAAGACCATTGCCATAATAACCGCTTTGGATGTCTAGCTATTTTCGATCTAATAGGCTTATTGGAAATCCAAGCGCGTCTCGAGAAGAAAACTCCTCGGAGATATCGATTGTCATCCCGCGTGAGACAGCGATATTCCCGTTCCATATCGCGAGAATTCGTCCCTCGGGTCTGTGAAACGCTGGGAAGGCCTGGGAAATCCGCCCCAATAAGTGCCTTGGGACAGATATGGCCATATGGGTCCTGTTTCATTTTGCAAGGGGTGGGGAAGTAATAGACTGTCTCAGCCAATGCCAGTTTTCCATTAGTGCCTGACGTGCCAGATATTTCATCGTCTCCTTCCTCATTTAAACACTTGACTGCGAGCGTCTTGCCGAATGTTTCCGACCGACCGAGCACGTTTCTCGTCTATTGGCGCGCTCTGCCTGCACAGCTGTGTGTGCACTAGTTTCAGTCTCTCTCCAACCATCTGCTCGATCGCACGGAAGCAGAAAGGACAATGGATATTGGATGTGCGCCTTCCGCTACCTGAAACAAAAAGGGCCGGGGCATGCAATAGGTGTGGGAAGCAAACATGGGCCTATACGTTAGATGAGACTGGCGTCAACAGTGAGATCCCTTTTGGGAAGCGATCGAAGATTGTGGGATCTCATTCGTGTTTCGGTTTCCACACGCGATTTCTACTTTGGCATTCGAAATGAGAAGTTATGTCTCTTTATGGCTTCTTTCCTTCCGTCAGTTTTGTGTTCATAAAGCTTCTGCACACGAAAGCTAAAACTTTATTAAATCAAAAACCCTTCCCCTAAGACTTGGAATACTTACGGCATTCGATACACCGTCACGAGGCATTGCAGAGCGGCCAGCATGAGAGACATCTCCGCCATCTTCGTCACTGCCGATTTGCCAGGCCTCTGCTTCCTATACGACTTGATGGGGATGATTCCCCCCGTAGCAATCGTCGTGGCTCTGTGCGGAATCACGCTCGTTCGAGGAATGGACTCAGTGCCTTTGTCATTTCACATCTCTCCGGGGTATGTATTAGTGACTGTGAAGTATTAGCGACTGTGAAGCTTTGTATGGAACCAATTAGCCGGTGTTTCTTCATTGGGCTCTGAAAATAATGGGTCATAAAATCTAGTTGTGTCGTTCCGTCTGCACAAATGAATGCAATTGGCAGGGATGAGTGGAACACTTCATTCGGTGCCAACTGACATGCCTATATATTTTTCGCATTAAGTAATAAAGCAATAAAAACGAGAACAAGAATTTCACTAACATTGATTACATAATTGCTAGTGCAGGACAGCGTTTTCAGCACTGCATTACTGTCATGCATCGGTCTTCCTGAAGAAATCCTTGGGGTTTCGGACCTGGTTTTGTCAGAGGGATTTTACTAGGCTTAGATTGAAGCTCCTTTGATTTTGGCAAAATTGAGCAAGCAAACTGGAAAAAAAAAGTGTATGAAGTAGCGTTGGATCAAAAGACAGAAGTGAAAACAGGTAAGCAAGAAAAAAGAAACTTTGTTAATGAGCCTTTTCGTTGAAGATTGTAGCTTGTGGAAGTCATGTAAGTACAGAATTGGTGTACCTACACGTACCACTTTTCCCAGTTTTTGGTCGGTGGACCTTCACAATTTCCTTCTGAAACTTGGGAAACGTTATTGTTTAATTTTTGCAGGCGGACCAGGTTCCTTTCTGCCTTCCAATTCATTGTTGAGTAGACATCAGGGTGCAATGCTCGTTGACATCGCGTCGACTCAACAATAAAGATGAACTTTCCACATCCTGTTGACCTCACAACCCCTTGCGTGTTGGTGAGGAATTTTCTTCCCCCGAAACGTGGACTGGATCTGTGAACCAGGCGATTTCGATTCTGCCCACGAAGTTCGTGTCGCCCACGTATGTCATGCATGAGTCCGTCACCTGTGTTATTTGCATTTTTTGGCTTAAGGTGACTCTGCAAATGCGGGTTGAACTCCATTTCATCGCATTTGGAAGTTCCACTTCAAAGTTCCACTTTCCCGAACAGACGTGTGAGACTGCTTCTGCGAAATCGATTTCACAGCCCCTCCTACTTTCGACGAAAGGGCGAGGAAAGCCTTCTGCGAAGAAGAGTCTCCATCGTCTAGATGGATTTGAAATTGGCCTGAGAGCTTTCGTGTCGCCTCGTGTTCCGCCTGATTGGAGTCCTGCTACAACGGGAGAGAAAGATCTCCGAGTTGATTTTGTTTCGACGGGGAATCAAATTTACTCCGCGAAGTCGTGCAGGATCCGGATATGTCCGATCGATGTTTCGTGCGGAATTTTGCTTCAGAATTTAGAGGTTTCTCTACGAATAAAAGTATACTTTCCGAAATGTTTACTTTTATTCGTGAAGAAAAGTATGCTGTAACAAAAGTACGGTCAGAAATGTCCAGGTTTACACTGGGAACTTTGTTCACTTTCGTAGAAATTTCTTCCTTTTCACTAAAATAATTTTTTTTTTCCGTAAAAAACAGCGTCTCCTCGAGCTTCTTCGGCGGTTATATAGACCTATATTTTCCTGTTGATTATTCAGAATTCAGGATGCGGGTGCTCCGAGTTCTATATCGTTGGAAAGCCCTCTTTGCAGGCATTGACTCAGCGAACTTTGATTCGGTGATTCATAAGAGATCCCGATGAAGGAAGGATGGAAAGATCCGTTCGCTTTTCTTCTGGAATGGTGTATTTTTAAAGAGAAAGACCGGTCTTCCGAGAAACCGGTCTTTCCGTCTGCAACTAGTACAATGGGAAGGAACTCACGAGGAACAAGAATTTCCAAGAATCCCACGGAGGCATACAATTCCCAATCTCAACCTGGCCAATTTCAGGCCACAATTTTACCGTTGCCGCCCCCGAAAGCACTGCCCCACCGCCCCCCCATGGAAACCCCCGCCCTCCTCCGTTTCGCTTCGACGGCCGCGAACGCCCTCCTCTCCGATCCGACGGGTCCAAACCGCTCCTGAGATGCGAAGATATCCCAGGACCGAGGTGCCAGCCCTTTCCGCCGCCGACTCGCAAGGGGGATCGTCATCGTCTGATCGCCTCGTGAAATAGCCCGAGCCTTCAAAAAGAGGGCGTCATCATGCCCAGCACAAATGTGACAGTAGTGAGAAGCGATAATTCGACAAGAAAAAAATGAGCCGGGAAACTTTTCCTTCTCGGTTACGCTGAGTCAAAGTTGCAGAAGACTTGCTACCCCTGGAAATTGCTCATTGTGTTCTGCTTCTGAATCAGCCTCACTAGCGATGTGAACACAATAGACATTCCGCATCCAAAATAAATCTGCTGAAGGACTGGGGAAAATTTTGATCAGCTGACTCGAATTAAAAAAAAATTGATGTACGGCTTGGGTTATGTTGAAGTTTCTGGGAATCAGAGATTGGTTTTAAACCAGAACCGAACCGAACCATAATTGAATGAAAAATAAAAACTTGAACTAAACTCGAATCCAATTACTCTTAATCCGGACTCAAATAGAACCCATAAAGTATTTGAGTTCAATCACATTGACAGTACTAAGTACTTTAAATAATCCAGAAAGGCTTCTTTCAGCATGTGGATTGAATTGTTGCCACTGAACTGAAGATTCCCTCGCCAGCAGATCATAAAAGCCTGTTGAGTAATTTTTTTCTCGATTTGTAGAGCTGTCCTTCACGATTATCCTACCACAACCGAACTGCACTGAACTTTGAAGCCGATCACCCCGCGTTTTCATCGAATGGAACCAAACTGGACCAAAAGTTCCCCGAACTCGAACTGAACCGAAACCCTCTGAACCCGAAGTGAACCGAACAAAATGAGTGATTCGTGGAAAAACAAGCTAAATAGTGCAAAAGACATCCGACACTTTGGAGATGCTTTCGCATTTGTACCATTTTGTTCAAGACATTTAGCAGCATTTTAGTAATCAGCATTTTGGAAGAGAAAGCTGAGCCATTCGCCCCCTTCACTCCCTCTCGCGTCCCGCCTCCGTTTCCATCTGTATTCTCGTGCTTCCCCCACTTTTGGGACGCGTCTTTTGCGAATCCTCTTACCATCAGAGGTCCCGCTCGTATGACTCAGTGACGAACAGTGGGAGTCATGCAGTAATTACCCAATCGCCTATTACAAAGTCTCATCGATCTTAATCGATTGCCATAGAGCTTTAGGTCGATCGATCGCGGTGGGGGGTTTGTATCAACAGTGAATGTCAAGGACACAAGTCTCATGCACTTTCTTTCTGGGAAAGCCCGATCGAGGATCAATCGAGAAGAGACCGAGTCACGTCGAGTCGCATGGAGTGACTCAGGGGAGGGGGGAGGGGGGAGGAGAGCCGATGGAGGGCAGTCCATCGTAGGTCGTAGGTCATCGTAGGTCGGAATGGCTGTTTGCTGTTCTCACGGGGCTCTCATGCTGGCAGCCTGGGTGGGATGCGCTGCCCCTGGGCTGCTCATCGCCACTTTTTATCGTAAGGCCTTTCCGAAATTCAAAGTATTCGACAAGGACTTCTGGTTTGCGGTGAGTGCGTACGGTGCATCTGTTCCTTGGAGTTCGCAGTCATTGGCATAATTTATGCATGGAAAACTTTTTTTTTTCCGCAGAAAATATCCTTGGTAAAAAAAAAAAATTTAAGGTTGACATATAGCTAAGGTCAGCATGAAAAAAAAGAATAGTCCATATGGTGAAAAGTCAACAAAGCCTCCAGTGGATATACTATGGAATATTCATGAACAAAATGTTTATGGACTGACTCCGTACGGTATCATTTTTCACAGGTAATAGTCACAAGCTTCAGGAAAAAAATGTAGAAGGACCTGTCCAAAGTGTCGGACGTGACATTACGTGAAACCTAAGGTTAATGTTCCTTGCTCTATTGGTCACGTTTTCTGTAATATATGGGCATCCATCAATTTAGTATTATGGTTCATTCTATAGATGAAACGAAGTCCTGTTTTAATGCAAATTAATATGATTGCACTACTAGGACGAGAAAGCAAGACCATTTTGCGATCGTGTCGGGTGTTACTTGTTCTAAAAGTTCATGCGAAGGAAAGGTATATATTTTAATATTCAGCTTAGAATATTATTCGGGTGCGAACAATTAATATCTTCTATTCACACCTGAGCTGATTTGAGATCATCACTCGGCTGTGCTGGCATCTACTTCGGTAGTTCTATTCAGTCTCTCCAGACTTCCGGTTCCATCATATCAATGATTATCACGAGAATGGTATAATAATATTCTCTAGGTGCAATAACACCAGATGGCGCGTTTTAAATATGGCGCCGCCCATGACTGGGGGGGGGGGGGGGTCGCACGTAAGGGGGAGAATGGGGAAAGTCATGCCTTCCCAGAATTGCAAGGCGCGTTTTAAATATGGCGCCGCCCATGACTGGGGGGGGGGGGGGAGTCGCACGTAAGGAGGAGAATGGGGAAAGTCATGCCTTCACAGAATTGCATAATCCTTCTTCACGTGGGGCTCCTCCCAATTTCTTCTCAAAACTTGAAAGCCACGACAGTGATAAAGAGAGCTTCTAGCCGAAGTAAAACATGTTATAAATGCGACAGGGTTCAGGGGTCAGCAAAAACGTGGTTCAATCCTTAATCAAACTTCACCTTCAAAGGAGGCGCAGGTTTTCCTCAAAACTACTCACAATGCAAGGATTTCCATGGAATCGTGGGCCGCAGTGATGTACATGTGCATGATATAAGTGGGATACTGCTAATATATTCCAGTTTCTTATAGAATTCACTACAACAGGAAACTGCTTTAAACCTGATGAAGTTTTGACTCCCATGCCCATGTATTCTCTTAGGTGCTGCTAGGTATTTTTTAAATGTCAGTTATGCTTCATGGGCTAAATCATAACCCATGACAGAAACCCCTTTTCGATAAGTACCTCATGATGGAACTAATCAAATCACTTGTCGGCTATTTATCCTGTGACAGCAATACCAAGTTTTGTTTTCATAGGCCCATGGACGACAAAGGCCTAGACTGAAAGAAACATCATGCTAGGCATTTCAGGCCGCCTGGATACTCCAAGCAGAAACTTCAGACCATCGATTACTTACTACATGATCATTCTTGGTCTGAGGAAATCCCTTTGGCAGCGAAAAAGAAGCATTTTCGCAGTAAAAACAGTCTCTATCTGCATATTTCCATAAGAAACGCCTTGAAGCTTGCGCGCTTGACTCCCCCCAGCTCATTTTTATGCTTCCTGCCGCCAGATGTCTCCAATTTAATGCACCCAGATAATATGCATGAGACGACTTTCTTTTTCAAACATCATACAGGGTGTCCCATAAGTCACTATTCCATTTCAAAAATTCACATTTGCTAAACAGTTGGCACAAAAAAGAAATAACATTAACTGAACAATTGCATGTCATTTAGAATTATCTTTGTCAAAAATGGAGGTATTTCTGAAGTTTCCAAGTGCTACAAAATACCCTCCGACTATATCAATATATTTGGCATGAAGCCCACCCCAAAATATTGCCGAAACTTCCTTTGGACTCTGGTGGAACTCTCAAAGACCTCCCTCCAGGTAGCACATTTTCTTTCATTACTCAAGCGTCAATTGTGAAGCCTTTTCCCATGACAACAAAAGCAAATTAAGCTAAATCATTTTTTTTCGGTTTCTCAGGTCTGTCTGGAATTAGGAAAGAAAAACATGAAGTTTCGGAATTTTTGTAAAAGAGGATTCAACAAAGTGTACTATAAATCGTCCTAAAGACGTACACCTTTCTGACATGCTCTTGAAGCAATTTCTGTTTGAGTCTGACTCCAAGTCATTATTATGAAAATAATTCTAAAGAAAGTTATTTCCATCAATGCTGAGAAAAGTGATCTGGTTGTTGCGGTTTCGAAAATATAGCAACTTTAAATGGTATAGTGACTTATGGGACACCCTGTATTCTCATCCAATCCCTCAGGCACTAGAGATATGAAACTTTCGTGCTGAATGCAATCAGGGCCTGATTAACCCATAGAGGCTATAGCCTCAGGCCCTCATATTTAAGGCCCCACTTTAGACTCTCCATTCGATATTGACGTAACTGCTGAGCGACGGTAGCGGGGCCATCGGACATTTGTTGTCTCATTAGATATTGCTTTGATTATTGCAAATGCCACAAATAATAATTATTTTCGGAGTATTATCTGGTTATCAAGTGTAAATATTTTTATCGGTTTTCTAGGAATTAAACCGTACCACGCTGTTTTTTTTAATTATGCAGGGACGAATTAATGGGCAAAGGGGGCTGTTGCCCCGGGCCCCACTCTTCTAGGAGGCCCCCGAAGGAAATTAAAAACGTTAAGTATTTGCATAAAGTGGTGGGGGGGGGGGGGGGGGCAGGGGTTGCCTCGGGCCTCCCACATTTGCAATAATCAAAGCAATATCTAATGAGACAACAAATGTCCGATGGCCCCGCTACCGTCGCTCAGCAGTTACGTCAATATCGAATGGAGAGTCTAAAGTGGGGCCTTAAATATGAGGGCCTGAATGCAATATTCGTATATTTAGTGAAATATCAGGCATGGGCTTCACTTATCACTGGACGTGGCCAGACCCAGAAAGCCGATTCGTCTCTCAGGCTCATTGGTCGTTGATGGTGCTGACCGCGATCTTCACGTTGGCTGGTTCCGTCGTGATCTACGACCTCGAAAAGTGGAAGCAAGATGATGACCCTCACTCCGTCCTGGGTCTCTTCGTCTGCCTCCTTGCCTCCGTTCAACCGCTGATGGGGGTTTTCAGACCGAGACCAACGCACAAGTGGAGACCGGCCTTCAACTGGGTGCATTGGGCAGTGGGGCACGTCGTCATCTTGCTCGCATGTGAGGTCATGGCAGGTGAAGTAGACGATAAGAAAGAGTCAGTCGGTTGGTTGGTATGGCTCTGTGCTCTTTTGGCGTGTGATTTTATTTTTTTCCGATTCGCAGACTTCAATTGTTTCCTAGCCTTCGGCATGAAGAAAATCGCCCAGCCTGTCCAGGATTACTACCTAATGGGATTCTACGTCTTCTTCTATTTCTTCGTCTATGTCTCGCTCCAGGTATCCGACATCATCAAGAGCTGTCATCCTCGTTAATTAGTGTTATTGGAGCATGAAGAAATGAGAGTGCCTACGCAGTCAATCGAGTGCATTTCCACTCACGGGAGAAAAATAAGACCAGGAAAAGGAAGAAAAAAGCTCGTCTGTGTATTTTGCATGCATTACATTATTTATTCATTGAATTTGCTGTGAGCGCCATCACGTCGGCTGTCCAGCAAACAGGTTGTGCAATCAAGAAATCATTCTTCTCCTCAGCTCAAAGAAATTCTTAGGATCTTTCTTCTCCTCCCATCTTTCTTTTTTTCCCTTCCATCTTTTTCCGTGCCTAGATCATTCCTTCATTCCCTAGCCGGGCCCTCAATAAGCCCTCATTGGAGCACAGAGGAGGAACATTCATCTCCTAATGATGGCTTTCTTCCATGAAAGAGGGGCAAAGGCTTTGCCAGTTCATCCAGGGAAGAAGAGAGGGAGAGAGAGAACGCGAATGGGAAAAAAGTACACCACAGTAACATTTCTCGCGTACTTTGTACTGGATAAGTTTATCAGTTGTGCGCAGGCAGGAGAAGGACGAGAGCTTTTGCGCCAATTCGAGGACTGGAAACTCCAATTCTCGTCTTCCCGCTCGGCTCACGCTTGCATTTCTCATTTTCCCCTCTCCCCATATGAATTCTTTAGTCCCTCATTTTCAACATTACTCAGCCTTCATACCTACCTTTCTAATATTCTCGCATCTATCCAGGCTTTTTCTCTCACGAAAACGAACGCGGTCGGATATATTGCAGCTAAGATTTATTTTCTTGGCGACCAGAAGCTGGAGAAGCAAGCGAGCAGTGCAGCAGGGGTCCCGACGAACCAAGTGGTTCCCGTCATGACACTCACTCGACGCTGGCGGTCCATGGATAATCTCCAGCCTAGGGGGAAATCTCAGGTAAGTCTTCGTTGCCAGCAGTCCATTCTTTCTCACGAGCTTCCCATGATCTTGCAGCAACAGGTTCCAGCAGTTTGCATGTTCCACATGAGAGTAAGGAGTTCTGCATCTTTTGTGCAATCCTTGCAGCCTATGTGAAATATTTATCACAACTTTCTAGCAAAGACTTTTTTATGGCTATACCTCGTACTCCACGTCAGGCCCGCACTAAGGGAGAGAATGGGGTGGAGGTATCGGGTACAATCTGCTCTGGGCCTCGCGTTTCAAGGGGCCCCACGAGAGCCTCCAATGAGACCCAAGCCAAGATCCCAAGAAAGGGCCATCCATAGTGTGGCCTCCAAAGGGCCTCCGGTTTAGTTTTTCTCCAGGCCTCTGGAAACCTCTGGGCGGGTCTGCTCCAAATTACAGCCAATATCAACGAAACTAATGTGACAGCCCCGACAAAGGCTTGCTAGGCGAGAAATATACAATATATTATAGCCTGGAAGAAAGAGCTCGGAGATGATATCTTGTGAATTCAGTCTGCAGCGGGTCAAAAATTTATCTTGCTTAGAACGAAAGAATCCAGCCGAGAAACGTATTTGAGCCACTTCTCCTCCATATCAGGAGGAGACGGCGAAGAAGCTTATCCTGATCGTGAGCCTGGCGACGTCCTGGACCGTGGTGATCTGCCTCTCCCTCATGGTCACCCATCGATGGCCCATGTTCCACGAGGATGACGACAGGGGCTCCGAGGGGGGGAAAATCCTCCCTCCCATCAAATGATCTCAGACTCTCGAACTCGGAAGATTCGCTTTTCGTATTCTCTTGGACGCGGTTCCTCTGGCGTTTCCCTTTTTAATGGAAGAAAAAATACCGTAGAAATCAAGTAAATTGTCGGAATCGCCCCATACACAGAACCCACAATGATTCCAGTCTCCCCACCTCTTCAGGTCCATTGAGGCCTGAATTCACGGTTAAGACGCTTCTACGTCATGAATCACGCTGTAAGCCATAGCAGGATTGAAGAGAGCTCCAGAATAAATTGTATGCATCTCGCTGGACTCATTCTGCATCACAATGACTTGTAAATTTGGCACTTTCGTGAATATGGCCGCCTGCGTCTTCTGTGATCATATAAAAACTCTTGCCGATTGCTCAATATTGACCACAAATTTTATGATGCCACGTTGAACTGCATTGCCAAATGCAGTTCAATGTGGCATCAGCAAAAGTGTGGGAAAGCTATTTAGAAATAAATGGATATCTGACTTATTGCTCGCATGGGACGGGTCAAACTACAGATGGCATGTACACATGCCACGAGACGCAGCGCTAGAGAATTGGCGTCTCAGTGTTCAATTTCGCGGAACTCCTTGATCAGCTTGGAGACATTGAGAACGATGATGAAGCATTCGAGCCCTGCCAGTACCAGGATGACGAAAACGAAGAGGAAGACTAGAAAGAAGACCAAGACATAGACAGTGGCAGATCCGAGAGGGGGAAGGGGGATGAGGGGAAGCGCCACCCCACGATTGTTCCAGATTCATATTCGCAAGCATTCCTCTTCAGCTTCTTCATTCAGTATCCCTCCTCTGCTCGCTATTCTCGCCTCAGATTCCGCCCCCCCCCCCCCCAAAAAAATTATGGATCTGCCGTTGACCATGGATTTGCCATGTGACAGAAAGAAGTCTATATTCATTATCACCCAAGGAAGCCATTTCATGTGGTGCGGCTCACAAACCGGGTACTTGAAAGAAACCATAGTACTGAGGACGCAGTATTAAGGGATTGCTGAATTCGCCCTCGCGAGCAGCGGGGGGGGGGGGGGGGGGGGTCTATTGGTACTTCGGTATTACCGAGATGTCCAATTTGGATACAGTCCAAATTCCTACTACTGTTGGCACAATGACAGTGGCAGGTCCTACAAGCATTGTCTAAATAAGATGCTTGATTGCTGGCTTTCATGAGCTTCTTCCACAAAATACATGTTGCTAACAGCGCACCTCTAAGGGAGAAAACCGGGTGACACGAACTCATTCCTCCGATATCAAGGAGAATTAAGACATTGGCTCCGTTGCTTTCCCCGTCGGAGGTGGAACTGATTAGACAACGAGCTAAATGATGTTCTATCTCAGGAATTTGCACTCATAAGTTATGTTATTCCCAAGATCGAAATGTTCAGGGAATGTTCTTACTTGAAAAGATGTGCTTGACGCCCTACTGTGCGGGGTGGGGGTATGATACTAATTCGGTTTCGTTACTGCAATCGAGTAAAGACGGCACTGGCGTAAGAATTTTGTTAGGGTCGGGGTTCAGTGCTTAGAAAGTTGCCTCTAAAAAACGTAAATCAAATTCGCACCGTGAAAGGGGGGGGAGAAGGCTAAGGGGTCCTGTCTTGAAACTGAAAACAGTCCATGGGTACCTCCAACCATTGTAAAAAGTGCCTAGGTCCCTCTACCCCCATGAAAATTTGACTTCTAATTCGTTTCGCACCCTTCGCAGCTAAATACAATCCGGAGAGATGGATTTCGAAAATGGGATTTTTGCTTCAAATGGAACAGCCCGCGGAACGTCAACCGACGAGCGAGAAATCAGATCATATCCCCCAGTAGAATTTACGGACTGGTGCCACAATCACCCGTATGCCACAAAGACTCGAGTTCACCCTTTGTGGCGCTACTGCACTTCCCGATATCTGAACCATGTCTTTGAGTCACCCGAGATTTCGATTATGACGGGGGGAAGATAATATCTCATTATATTCTGAGCCTTTCGGTTTTCTTTTTATTTTTTTCTGCGTCGTAGGAAGACTCCTGGAGTAGAAAAACTGGAGGTGGAAACTTTTCCATTGCGGAATCAATAAATTTTTAGCGCTTACGACCCTTGTGAATTGAGTGCTAGAGCACTCAAAAGCCTGGGACGGAAGTGTTCATTCTCTCTGTGGGATTGAGAATCGACCTTTTATGCTGCGTTTCGCCTGTTGGTAATAAAGGCCATGGAAAAATCAACGTCTCATACAGACTACGCCTACCTATTGGATCAATAACATAAAGTCAAATTCTAATTGCCAATAAAGGCAAATGGGATTTGACCTTACGTTATAGCCCACACCCAAGCCTACGCAGAAACTGAGATCTGACGAAGTCAAGCACCTATTCGAGTCGCTTTTGGTGTGGACGATGCCGTCAAGAAATCCGAGGTAAGATAATCGTGACGCAGCCCGGAGGACCCCCGCTGGGAGAGTGCACCGAGTCTGCAGAGAAAGACGCGCGTCACTCATCGGGAAGCCGATCCCCCAAAGCCGTGGGGAAGGGCTCGCCTGACTTTCTGGACGGCAGGACCAGACACGTCCAGCTTTGGGAGCCGTTCAACTCGAGATCGTTGAAGAATCTCTTCCTCGACTGTCTAGGAGAGAATAGCGACGACTTCTGATTCCAACTTCAACTCTTCACTTTTTATATCAGTCAGTTTAGACCTTCGTGGCTCTTTCCACGTGGATAGGCCATAAAACGAGAGCCAGGGGACTTTCATGCTTCTAAAGCGCACTTTCTCACTCCTTATCGCTGCTCCGCGTTATGAATTATGAGCGTTTGGGGAACGTCTATGAATTCTCGGCTTGTGCTTAATAAAAGAGAAAGAAACTCTGAGCAAGTAAAAAAAAAAAGGGCTTCGCTAGATTTTCCTACATGCCAATCCTTTCTCAGACTCGCAACGCAAAACCTAAAAAAAAAAGAGTCTCTTGTAAATTTAGTCAACTGGATAGCCTCTTGTTAACATGTTTCGGACGAGGAAGAGAAAACGTTCCAGGTCGGGAAACTGCCTGCTCCCCTGAGGACGGGTTCTGCTATATGTCAATATTTCAAACGTTCTGTTTTATTTCTTTCAAAAATATGCGCGAGAATGTGACTTTTCCTCGACGTTTTCTAACATTCTCTCCCATTGTAAAATTATATGTTCTGTTCAGTCGACGAATGATCCTGTTCGACGCATTAGTTATCGACATTGTAGTTATTCGACCACTTGTTCATTCAACATGGGAATCGCCCACATGGAAATAGGTCTTTTGTCGTGCCGATGTTGGTACGACTTATGATGAGGGAAAGCGAAAGCAAAAGATAAAAGGAGTAATGAAAAATGAGATCATTGGTAGCTTTCCATTCTCAGAGATTCAGTTCAGCGAAATAAAACCCAAGACAATTTCATTCCAAAGCGTAATTTTTGAGAATGAAGCGCAAGGAGCATAATTTTTGGTAAATTTTGGTGATGGCGAGCAGCAGCATGGGAAATAAAATACTTTTGAATAACACTATTAAGAATTTGTGGAGTACGAATATTGTCTCGCGAATGAAGCTGATTCTGTCACGTTCCCATTGACTCCCAGAGGATTCCAGGGGCCCGGGGCAAAACTAATCTGGAGACCCCTTGGGGGGCCCCCTTGAGCCCCTTTAGAGAATCCCCTTGGGACCCCTTCATATGTGAGGCCTGGGGCAGATTGCCCCAATTGCCCCCCCTCTGGGCGGGCCCTGCACGTTCCTATTTTTTTTTTTTCCTACAAATCTTCAATAAATAATGCTTAGAAAATACAGTCGATTCCGTATAATCGAATACCACTTAATGGAATATGATTGTACGGGTCCCGATTTTTCAACCATAAGGGTACATTATGAAAAACATGAAGGAATGCAGCTATTAGAATGACCCTCTTAAGGAATAAACTTTTCTGAAACATGGAACAACTTTTTTCAGATCACTGTAAAACAAAATGCTTATTTTTCCCATTCGCGTTCTTGGAAAGTCTCCACCTTCCCCCAGTCCCACCCTTCCGCTTCGTAGAGCCAACGTCACGAGTTCCCACTGGACTTTTCCGTGAACCGAGGGGGGGGGGGGGGGGGGGGCAGGGGGGAAAAGCAAGCGCACCCTTTCCTAGAAATTGGGGGGGGGTTAAGTATATGCTTCAGATGCCCTTTTTAGGCGAAATTGAAAGAAAGTTTACTTGATTATAAATTGAGCCTATAGGCGTGAGATCTGCACATTTAGACATGGGGAAAAGGAAAGACCTTAGCGTGGCCGAAAAGATCGCAGTCCTACATGCCCTAATGGACGAAAAGAAGACGCAAGCTGAACCTGGCTCGGTAGTTTGGGATCTCTCAGCCGCAAGTTTCCAAGCTCATCAAAAACAAGGTAGCAAAATATTGTAATGCGCAAAACGCATTCTTATAAGTGGTGAATGCGCAAATACGGGTACTGTACTACAACATATACATTTTAAAAGTTGCCCGAAGTGCAGTACGATTGTTTATTGAATAACTAATGAAATACTCCGGATTATACAGTAGAATAAAGTTCGCTAGTCCCGTGAGTATTCCATTAAGCGGAGTCGACTGTAGTTGCTAATAGATTGTTTAATATATTTATCTAATTGTTTGATATATTTATCGTGAATAACTCAATTGATTAATCGAATATTTATTGAGCCCCTCTGGAACCGCCTATTCCTCTCTGAATATAGCGAACGAAAGTGGCGACCGTCACCTCCGTCCCGCACGGCCTGTCTCAGCACTCACCGGGAAATGAGTAGGAATGGACCACCAGCTTCGGACAATATTGAGACAAGGATGTCGAGAGAGCACACACTGTCTGCTTCCGGTATCCAGGAAGAGGAGAAGAAACACTCCCTGGCAGGGTGCTGATGGAAAGAGCAAGGAATGATCCTTCATTTCTCGGAATCATTTTCTTTCCATTATCTGCTTTCTTTTCTTCCTCTCTCTCTTTCTCTCACTAGCGCTTCTCTTTCTTTTGTCTTTAGGCAATGACTCGCTCTGATTATTTATGATGATCCTGTGACAGCATTCTGTATTATTGCCATCATCTCCCTGCCTATCGATTCCATCATGCATCTATCATATTTCCCACATTCATAAGCACACATCCCCACGCTGTCAGATGCCGCACAATAGATGCCACACAGAAAGAGGGACGAGAGATGGTGGCTTCCCAGGGAAATTTGAGCTTCATAGCAGCTGGAAGTGCGTCGTTTCGTCCCGAAGCCTCCAGACCAAGACACGAACTCCTTTTTCTCGT